ACACACACACACACACTCAAACACTCACACACACACACACACACACACACACACACACACTATACTACTACTCCTAACCTCACATGGTCATCAAATTACAGACTTAGCACTCTGAGGCCGTGAGGGTACAGACCCCCTTGCACTGTCCGGCGCCCCACCACTCACGGACATGCGCGTGCATGTGTCTATCACCAGTCTTGCTCGGTGTAACTTGGCCGCGCGTCGTGGCATGGCCTGTGCGATCCGCCGCGCGCTCCGGAGATCCTGCCTGCAGGAGGTGGAGATGTTAGCGTCACGTCGGTAGGACGGGCAGAGCTGGGGTTCCCACAGGTCGTAGAGAAATCTCAGAATCTCCGTGGATGTCGCTCTATCGTCCGTCATGGGCGTGCCCTTGTAGAACGCGATCATCTCAGCTTTTTGTCGCGCAAGTTTCTGGGCGGCGTACTCCTCCGCGTCGCGTTTTTTCTTCAGCCTCTTCCCCCACGGAGAAGTAGACCCTCCTAACGACATGATGGACGGGATGCGCGCCAGCAGAGGTTTCCCCGGCGTCGTGTGCTCGCCCGGCCCGTTGCCTAGCGACGAGATTGTTGACATGGAGGAGTCACGCCGTGACGCCCACGCCAGACGTGGTGTGCCGCGTGGCTCCGGACGGCCACGCCCTCCACCGTCCTCCGTGCTGTTGTTCCGGCTCACGTGACCCGCCCGGGAGTTGAGCTCACGTGACTCGGACGAGCTGGACATGGCTTTCAGTTTGGACAAGATGGTCGGCAGGTTTTTGGACCGTGGCGGTCTCGCGTCCGACGCCATTTTGGTATCGCTGGGCCCTTTAACCAATCAGAATACGAAAAAATTGTTGGTCCCCTGAAAAAAATCCCGAACGAACTCGTCGTTCGATTGACTGTTGGCCTTGAGCTTGAATGAGAGAGAAAAGGAGGAGAAACTTCTGCGCTCTCTCTCTCTCTCTCTCTCTCTCTCTCTCTCTCTCTCTCTCTCTCTCTCTTTCTTTGACTCTGACAACCAGACAGAACTGGGTCTTTTTTTTAGGTAAGATTCCTTCCCAAACCAGATGTGTCGTCACACGAACTCTAAAAGAAAAACAAAACAAGTCAGGTGTCTTCGTCTATATGAGAAGACACTGTCTCGTGTAGAAAAAGATTATAGCAGCCTCCTCGTTGTTTAGCTAAGATGACGTCATTGAGCGAGACCGTGTCGAAATACTGTGTTGTAGAAAGAAAAGGACAGTCACGCTGTTCAGCTCTGAAGCCATCGAGCTATGAAATTCTGACGACTAGTGTGTGTTGAGTGTAAGCCTTCACACGGTGTCTGTGTGTAGCAGCTGAACGATGTTTCCATAGAGGTTGAAGAGCACGCACACAGTGCCATGTCGAGAAATGTCGAAACACTGAAGAGAAAACTTAGACCACGAACCCCCAAAATGGACGTGGTTTACTCCCTTGAAACTCTCACTTGAAGTTCGAATTTAGTCGGATGTCTGGAAAAAATGATTGTCTCAGGGCAGACGTGAGTCTTTTGTTTACGTCATCATGCCACAGAACACACAGATCCTTCTAGCACAACTCACGTCGAAAAATCTTCTATAATATAGTTCTCAAGGCGTAATTAACTGTTGAAAAAACAACACATTATGGTTAAGGTAAACGAAAATGCAGGTGTGGGGGCGGGGTGGGGGCGAGGGGGGGTATGGTGTTCCTGCTCGCTTTCTGATCTGCCCTCCAATCCTCTTTGAGCACTTCCTGTTTTCCCGCGTCGTGAACACAAACCGTCACGTTTTCTCTAGGGTGGTTTCGATATATCGATCTTCAATCTGTTTCTTTGCTCGTGCCCGCCATTAGTCAAAGCTCACGATCTAAACATGTATCCTAATGAGGTATCGATTCCCATGCTCGGAGTCAAGTAGTGCCGGAGAAGTCCTGGGTTTTAGGCAGGGGCTTACGAGGGAAAAGTGCTCGCTCTTATGACGTCATCGTTTCTTGGGTAATCAAGTCAAGAAAGAATCAATGGGAAGGAGTTGTTGTAGCGGTGAAGGAGATGGGAGGGGGGGGGGGGGGGGCGTGTTTGCCAAATCAGCACGTAGATGTCTCTGGTGGCAATGAACGTGTCACGGTCCTGTGTCAGTTGGTGGGACTCTCCTCGGCTTCCTCTCTCTCTCTCGCTGTTACAAACAATGGCTCTTCTTCATCTGGGGGGACAGCAAAGAGAAACGTTTTCAAAGAATGCTAACGGAGTCGTTTGTGAAATGTTTAGACTCCTCGTTACTTGTATGTTAAATGACATGAGTTGGTTCACTACTTGGGAAACTTGATTCCATCGGGTATTTCGTTTTAGTAGAGGTTTTACGACGCTCGCAACTGCATAAGGTCATATGAGTGCCAGAAGATTAAAGGCGTTACAAAAGAGTAACAAACATAAAAAAGAAGGGGAGATAAGGACGATAACTGTTTAATAGGAAAGAAGAAGCAAACTACATCAGAGCACCCGCCAACCACCCACTTTCATCGGGTATTCCAGTCTGTTTGCAGAGGAAAGTTTCCCATTCAACTCGGGAGTTTTTATGTGCGAAATTGTATAGGCTTAATGACATTTGCTACTCTGTAAATGTAAGGTTATTTAAGAGGCAGGACCTCCGAATTTAATGTCTGTGTCAGATAGGACCAAGTCAAATGAGAAAAAAAATCGTGTAAAATATCTACCAATAAGAACACTGGATACACGAGTACAGTGGAATATACAGTACAATACAGGTCAACATAATCTCACATTTTGTTATCATTTATACTTCACACATATTGTTATCATTTATACATCCCACATATTGTTATCATTATTTGTATACATTTAATGTATTTCCCAAGAGCACAACGTCGGACAGAGCTGAACCTTAAACCCCCGAACCCGCAATGTCACAATTACGAACTCTGTGGCTTAACAAAAAGACTTCCGACGCAACCAGCTCGGGTTAGCCCCGACAGACAGAGAAATCATCTAAATTTTGGTGCTATTGCTTGTGTGGGGCGGGGTGTCAAATATCAATTTTAAAAAAGGAAGAAAAAAAGAAAAATGGTGGACAAAGCTTGACAACTACACAGAAGCCCGGGGATCAAATCTGAGAGGGGTCCGGACTTTTCTTGCCAGTACCTGGGACATATACCCCCTGAGCGCACAATGTTTTGTCGTGTAGCCAGATCGTCAGCGTCATTCCAAAAGCGTCTACGTTGTTGAGAAAGAGCGCGCCCAAATTAGAATCATGATTTTGGCACTCGTTATTCTTTGATTTCATTATTAACTAGGCAGGAAATTACGAAGCAGAACAATAAATTATATAAAAAATACAGCCGAAAAAATATCATGAATGAACAACGAAGTTATGTTTGTTTTTCAAAGTGCCCTATACCAGCGCGTCATCAACAGTTGCTGAGCGCAGGTGGTTGGCAGGTGCTCTTGTGTGGTTTACTCCTTTTTCCTATCAAACATCTATCGTCCTGATCTCTCCTACTTCTTTTTTTGTGATTGTTACTCTCTTGTAACGCCTCTAAAGTTCGGCAATTGTGAGACCTTATTGTGTTTCAAATGCCGTAAAACTCTTACAAAACCCAAACAGTTGCTGAAAGACCAGAATGCACGTTCTCAAACTCAAAGAGACAGCAGAGGTTTGTAAAGACAGGACATACCTCTACCACTACAGAAGATCTCCAGCGAATGAAATAGTGTGTAGCCTACCATATGTGAGAGATGTTTTCTTCACGCTGTTAAGGCTGTCAATCACAACAAAGACGCCCTGTGACAGAGTGCTCACTGTCAATTCGCTGCCTAAGAATTACACATTTTTTCCTTACATTTTGGCCGTCTCGAGCTACTAAGACCACGAGATCAGAAACGAAAAATTCAATCTGCTCTATCAAAATCGTAAGATTATTCGGCGTCGTTATCAAGATATTCAAAGACTTACTTTCGGAAAAGCTCGACATGTTGTGGAACACAAAATTATTATAGTCAAATTTCTCAAAACTAGGCACTGAGCAGATAGAACTTTGTAGTTCTAAGGTAGCGAATTTGGTTTATTTGATTCAGCCGGGACCAGTACCAGACAGTTTTCTTTCATGGACGGGGCAAAGAGTATCATTCTGGCAATTACAACCGAATTCAACTAAATTCGACCATGACGTTCAAAATCAAATGCTATTAGATGTAGTTTGTTATTCAAAGTCGCATATCGAATCGGTTGTATTATTATGCCAAAATGGTAGCTTTTGCCCCTTCCATGAAGGAAAATCTGGGTGGCCCCGACTCAGTCCGATGAATCCAGTTGGTAGAGTGCACTAGGTACATGTATAACGCTGCTGAGATTTCAGTCATGCTCTGGACACCCTAGGCGGGTGCCCACTACGGCTGGATCGGGCCGACCGCTCGACTCGTTAGCCTGAAACTGAAAACAAATACACAATGTACGTTTGTTCTTGAGGCGACCGAGTCGGGCGACCGAGTCGGGCGATCGGCCCGATCGGCCGATACCGTCCGTAATGGGCACCCTGTGTTACACTGAAAAACGTCAAGATTTACCAGGAGTAGAGTATCCAACATCATCTGTGGCAATATCCCATGACATACTCACAGTTACTGTCAAGAGGGCGGTATGTAATTTGACACCGCCATTAACATGTTTAACATGTTCCATGTAATTGTCACTAATTATTAGGTCCTCCAGAAGACATTAGACTGCGCGTTTGAAGTTGCTCACAACTACCCCTTATTACATTAGTTCACGATCTGAAAGACCTCGGATAAAAATTGACCTCCTCCCCCTCCCCTTTCCACTCATTCCTACCTCATACTGTCACCCCTTCTTTATTACTCTCTGAAGAACGTATCGAAATGTATGCCCCCCCCCTCTCTCTCTCTCTCTCTC